ACGATATTTCATCCTTTGAAAATTATATTAATCCTCTAGGCTGTATATCACCTCGAACTCATCGTGTGTGTATCCTCTATTAGTAGCATAAATCTAAAAATATATATATTTTTTATTGTTAACGCTAAAATTCCAACAATAACAAGAATTATTTACTGCACTTGCATGAAAAACATCTCATATATATAGTAAAAATGCTGTAACAATATTTAAGTGTACAATATTTTAAATATCGGAGAAATATCTCATGTGAATAAAACTCTGAAAATTTTTCTTACTCATACAATATAGACTTAAGATTAGATAAAATTGTGTACATTCCAATTCTAAAAAACTCTGTGCAAATATAGTAAGATGCACTCGAAGAATTCGAGCCACGAGAGATGCTGATGCAATTAGTCTGTTTCATCGTTTCTTAGCAAACATCATTAAGTTTGCGAGAGAATCGCGCTAACGAGGAAAGAAGGAGCGTTAAAGAGGATGCCGGCAGGACGAACGCCCTAGGCATCCTTTTTAAGTCTCACGGTGGAATATTGCGAGGTAGAATCTCATCGTTGCGTTTATCCGCCGCGGCGTAATCTGACTTTGATCGTCGTCATTCCTCCGGAGAAATTGGCGCGAACTTTCGTGCCCCTGGCAGCCGACTCTCTTAGTCCTCGCTGCCGAAAAACTTATTTTTCCCTTGAAGAGCAGTTCTGTCGAAGGAAGAGGGCAGTTCATTAAGAAACGAGTGAGAGCGTTCCCAAGAGATTACGCCGACAAGTTATGCCGCTTACTCGATCAAGAGAAAACGAGCTGTCGAGAATTTACTAAACGCAATATTTTGTTAATTCTTTCTCCTTCGCCAGCTCTCGAAACAAAGGATGGAAAATATTTAATTTTACATTTAGCAAAATTAAGAAAGTGCACTTGAACTTTTCGTTATGAAACATGTGAATTCATTATGAAACATGAAGATATAATTAAAAATGCGTCGTAAGTTTAAATTTCTTTTTCTTTTAGTATAATAATTTAATGTGGGAGACTGAAGAAATTTTATTTACAAGTTTTTAATAGCTTAATTTCGCAGCAATTATCTAAATATTTTTAATTATTGATACTTAAAAAATACTTAAAAAATTTTTTAATTACGCTTTAATTGAGTTTCAACGGAAAACCTCGTTAGTATTGATTCATGCATAACTCGCTCGTACTAAAGGAATATCACCACCACAAATAGGTTAAAATAGCAGTTGCAGTTTTCATTGCAATTAGTCTACTGATAATTGCGCAATATGTGTTTATGACGATCGCCGTCTGCACTAATCAGTATCCAAGTCCGAACAACGCTCGGCTGGCTTCGATCAAGCACCCTCGTTTGCTCGATTCGATAATAATCAATCGGACGTAGCTGCTATTCGAACGTAGTGAATTCGAAATAATTGCCTGTCCACCAGCAACCTCCCTTCTTCACCCTCGCTTTCGTCCCGTCTTTTTTTCTTTCTTTCCCGAATAACGGATGGCCGGAGCGTATAATCCATTCGGCATAACGTATTTTCCATCGAATTATCAACTTATTGATAGACTAATTTTTTCTACTATTGCACATTGTTCAGTTCCACTAAAGTGCTTCACTTCTGTTTCATTGGACGTGCTGTGGAATTAAAATTTGTATTGATCGGCTCGTTGCGATGTATTGCAAGTCATCTTGTCAATAACTCGACAATTGCGATTCTCATTTTGAATGGCATTTTGTCGATAGCGCAAAGAGAAATTTATTCGTTATCAGCGTAGAAAAGTCTGTTTAATTTTTTACTCTCAATCAACGTATGTCCATAAAATGTGAAATGTAGAATCATTTCAAAAATTACCAGATAAAATGTATGTGTGGAATATATTAATGCAGGAGTGTTAAAATAAAATGTTCTCTTATATACATATATTTGAAGTTCGATATAATATTATTGGGTTCTCTAATTTCGTATTTTCCAATGAATAATGTTATCGTTTTCACACACACAGCACACTTTTCCGCGACGTGAGCAAATCGGACGGAACTTGATTACAATTTTGACAAACTAATATTTAATTCACGTGTTAATCAAACTCTGCCCGACAGAAAAAAGTGAACAGATTTATTTTAAAAATCAAAATTACAGAACACAGTACAATTGGGATGCTGAGTGCTCGCTGCATCAGCATTAATGTCACGAAGGTCCGAGGAAATGTCCGGTAAATACTAGCTTTGGTACGTGCCGTGCGATAGTATGTGATTACGCCGTGCGATATTATGCGCGATAGGATTAAAAATTAACTCCGCGCGGGAACGAAACTGTCCTCTCCGAATTCTTCCGGCGCGGTTCCATTTGCGAGCGCATCTTAGATAATGTGTACCTTCCATCACGAGAACACGGCACCTCGCAATCTCCCGCGGAGATCCCTAGTGGACCGTCGCGGTATGCAAACAGGGGTCGAGATAGGTTGAAAAAGCGGACGGGGGAAGAGAGCGCCGCCGGGGGTGGCGTACCGCGAACGGAAGGGGAGCCCGGGGTGGTTGCTCGTGCGTCTAGTACGGTGCAACGGGGGTGTTACTAATTGGAGGGGCGCCGAGGGGAGGAAACCTTGTTATCTCTTAATTGCTACGACCCTCCGCGCTGTTTTGCATCGATAAGGAGCGCGCGCGACTCGACTCTGGCGTTTGTTTCGTGGACCATGTCGATTGCGCTTATCGATCTGACTTCTTCACAGGATTATTCAGCGAGATGTAACGACCCTTCGCCCCGTCCCCTTCCGCCCTTTTCTCCTTTCGTTGCGCCCTGCCGCGCGCGACTTCACATTCTCGTAAATTTATTTTTTTTATTTATAACTTTACATGAGACGTATAATACAGCAAACGTAAACTGTAATTAAAACATTCTTTTAATTTAATGGAGACAATTTTTTCTGAAAGAAAAAAGGAAATGTTCCGAGGATATTGTGGAAGAAAGAAAAGATGAGAAAAAAAAGAAACCGATTAATAAAAAATAAGGAAGAAATAGAGTAGATAAAAAGATTTAAAAAATAGAGCAAAAAGGTTAAATAAAAAATAAGGTATAGATGTAATATGTGATAAAGAATGAGATAATCTAGAATAATAAATAGAACAGGAATGAAATAAGAATGTGTTATAAAATTTTAAGTTTAATTTTCTATATGTTGTATGAAATATATATATTTATAAAAAAATTATTAAAGTTGATATTAATTATTATAAATATTTATTAGATAGAATTAAATTTGATATTGCGATAAGAAGAAGAAGAGGAAACAATCTAGTAACAAAGCATAATAAACGTACCTATTTCTGCACAGAAAAAAATAAGACCATACTTTGGGAAATGAATGTCGAGGACTATACATCTTCGCCGATCGGCAGGTCGCAGGGCAAAGCGATACGCGATTCAGCGCACGAAACGAATCCGGGGAACGGATCGTAACGAGTTTGATTATCTCGCGCGCGCGGCATGAGTCAGTCGTCAGTCGTTCCTGTTTCCCCCGCACATAGCTACCTCTGCGTACACGACGCACGCCCTTCGTTTCATTCCGCCTTCCGAATAACGGGTGTCCGGATTCCCATGAGGTTTTCCGCCCCCTTTTCAAGCCTCATTGCTATGCACCGCTCGAAACTCCGCTAACGACCTTACGCACCCCCTGACCCCGCCTCTGGAGGTCTCCTCGCTCACGATTTTCCTATTTGAAATCGCCTTCTCACGTGCCCCGAGTCCTTTGATCGCGACATTCGCGCGCGTCGAGTGGGACTCCATTTATCGGTGTAACACCATGGAAAAGCCTCTTTGAAGGAAGTTCAAGGATCGACGGAACATTCGAGAAGTTGAAGACGGCACAATTTGACGTTCTGGAAATTTGACGTAAACCATGTAAATTTGTACGTCATGTTTCACTCTTGCATTAGAATTTCTCCAGTACTTTATCCTCCGAAATTTGAAGAGAAGATTACTGTAATAAGATGCAAATTTTTACAGAAATGTTAATTATCATATTCTCTGCAAGTCCGCCGAAAACGTATCCTCAGTTTCCGCAAACTAATTAAAGTTTCACAAACTGCGCAAAGGAGCGCCTATGACAAAATGGCCGGCCCAAGGGCTAATGAGTCTATAAACACGCGAATGTAGTAAAAAGGGAGTAAAGTCCATTATAGGGCGACAGCGACTCCACTCTCTCTTTCTTTCCTTTGCTTTTACGCAAGCTCGCCGGAAACACTCAAGCTGAAGGACGAGGGTGTTCGGATCGCAAAGTTGGTCTTGTTAGGCCTGCAAAAGGGGATTCCGCTCAACCAACCGTGCCAGCCTTAAGGGCCCTTACTCCGCCAGAGGCACGCTTCGTTTCTCGATTGATTCTTTATTTTACAATCGCGGTACCCCCGCAAAAGGCAACGAACACACGGCCGGCGTAAGGGACAGGACACGTTCGGCGCTGCGCCGCTCGTGACCCTTCCGTCTGCCAATTTCCGGTCGTTCTGTGTCATCGTTTTCCACATCGTCTATTCTCCGGCGATTTTCATTCTCGAGTACTGCGCTGTGCAGTGATTATCGATCTTGTAACATCAATGGAATTATAATAAATATTTAAGTATGATTATTAAGAAAAATATTTACAAAATTTTTTCAAGTATTAATTACAATTAATTTTTTATTTTTTCCATATGCTTGCCAAAATTAAAACTGCCTTTGATAAAAATATTTTCATGCAACACTGCATAAATAAAATAAAAACCAGAGGAAACATATAATAATATTGTCTCGACGTTACATTAAAAATCTAATCTATATCGCACTGAATCTAACGATCATTTATTTTAGTCTTCTTTCTCGCAGTAATCACTTATTTCCGTCACTCGTGATTTGCAGAAGGAGGAGGCTCTACCGAGTCTTCCGGTTCCGGACCTCGAGACGACCCTGCAGAAATACTTGGCGCAGGTCGAAGCTGTCGCGCCGAACCACCTGGATAGAGCGCGAAGCTTGGTGAGGGCTTTCCTCTCTGGCCCTGGACCGAAAATCCAGCAACGTCTCCTGGAACGTAGACAGAAGGTGACCAACTGGGTGAGTGATCATATTTTTTTTACAAACAATAATCACATTTCCGCGATCGCATCTGCGCAAAACTGCGCGTCTTCGTGCTACAAATAATTTGAGTGAAATAAGCAAAAAGGTATAAAGGTATATTTTTCTAACCTAAAAATTACAAAACTTTCTTCGTAAGCCGTTGACATGTATTAAGATCGACTTCTGTATTCCGTAACATCTTCGAAGAGACTTCGGCTCTCTTACGAGGAGCCGTGTCAGACGGCATAATCCCTAATACGTCGCTTTAAAACGAGGGTCTGTCCTGTGCCGTCGCGAGAAAGAGGAAAAAAAGTCACGGTGTGTCATGGTCATGGGGATCGAGCGGCAGAGATCCTCTCCGCGTCTAAGTGGCACAACAGCATTTTCGTTTCAAGCCACGATGCCTCGGGAGAATTTACCTCCGCTACACAGGGTGTTCACTTATCTCGGTATCGATCGCAATATTCGGGAGAGTGAGATCGGTCCCGATAGGGACGCGTGCGGGATAAAGAATAGATTAAAGTGATAAAGTTTAAGTTCGGCATCTAAACAAGGCTTAAAAGAGACTCGTATTCCAGCGACGTGCAAACATTTTGCGAGAGAATATTTAAATTATTAAAAAGCTGGCAGAAAAAAGGCTGTATAAGAACTAACGCGTCGATGTCGGGGCGCAAAAAGATATTACAAATCAATACGGAACATTTTAGCCGCACGCGTGATTACAATTGTCGATTATAATTCCACCAGATTAAATAGGACTCCAAAATTGGGCCGAAATGTTTCTATAGCATTATTCTACACCTGCGCTTCGGTTCTACCCTTTTTTCTATTAATTTTTTCATTATCATAAATCATACGTTAAATTATTAAATTCAAAGGTGATATCCAGTCCGTAAAAATATTTTATTTAAATTCTAGCAATAGAGAAATTTTATTCTTCGACGAGGGGGGGATATCGTGTAAACGCGCAAATAAATAAACACCCTGTACATTAAAAACGACGAAAAACCAGCTTCTAGAGAGGCCGACGGAGTCGTCGAGTATCCGCGTGCGTTCCCCGCGTGACTTTTGCCATCCCCTCATCCTGCGCTCTCGTGGGATTCCCGGTTCGATGCATGCGCCGGCTATAAGCCGCGTCTCGCACCCCCACGTCGATCCGAGCCCCCCCGTGGCACATAAATAAATAAATAAATGGATTTACGAGGGCGTCCTCCTCCCGCCCGCGCCCCTCTCTCTCTCCTTTCGCGCGACGCATCGGTGAGAAGGGACGGACGTAGGGGTCGCCCGGACTGTACCGGAACAATGCAAATATTGTCGGAGGAATGAGAACAAGAAGGGCGACACGGAGTCACGTTACACGTAGGCTCGCTGATCTTAGATGAGCCGCATCGATCTAATATCACGCAAGCGACATATTGCACTCGAGTTTAGATACGGAGTCTAGATGTTTGTCCCGGCATTTTTCTGGAAAAGTTTATTACGCGGTATATCAAGTGTTACGTCAAATGCATACACGTTGCGTGACTCGCGCGAAATTTTATTTCCGATATAAAACAAGTCCGTATGTGAAGGCAAGAAGTATATCACGGAATTACACTGCGTATATACTTGTCGAGGCGAGAATCGCGACGATAAATATTTGCAAATAACATCAAGCTTTACTTGACTCCGGATGCTCAGTTGAAAAGTGTTTGCTTCTGCATTTCTATACGAAAATTTATTTTCAGTCGAAAGTATTTTCACACGAGAGAGTAAAAACGATGAGACGAAGTGTGACGATTGAGAAGTGTCGCACAGTTTTATCCGCGTGATTATCACTCACGTCTCTATTCTTGCAAAATTTTTATTATTATTAGCGTATTTTATTTCGTATTTTCGTATTTTATTTTCGTATTTTATTTTTGATATAAAATGCCTAGCTTTGTCATTCAGGATGACATATTTGTGATAATTTCCATGAAATTTGCCGAAGAGAATATTTGAAAATCATTTTTCAATAATACATAGATTTCTATCACGGTCTGCACAAATCCGTTTTTTGTTTTTGCGAAGAATAACTCTGCATGATATATTCAAAACTTTTTTCATCAAAAGGCAGATTAATTCATCGCGATCCACCGCAATTTTATCGAGGAATAAGTTTCTTTCCGGAGAGAAAGAGCTGTTTGCCACGCAGCGCGATAATTCTTTCCTCATCTCCCGCAAATATCTTCGTATTTTTTATCACTCTGGCAGCAGCCGCTCCTTCGCTTCGAGGTCTGCTTCTTCTCTCTCACGTAATTTTTCTAATTTAGCCGAACGGCCCATTCAGCATCGAGCGAAAAGCGACCGAGGCTCGTTCGCACAATCGCCGGCTCGGGTTTTCGATTTGCCGGTATACATCCGGAAATACATTTTCGTTTCTCGTTTCTTTAAGGGTCGACCTCTCGCCGATGAACTTCCCGCTCCCCCGGCTCTCCTTTCTTCCCGTGCGAAGTGTCGCGAAAAGCCAGACCGAAAGCAATTTTCTCGCCGGCGGCGGCCTGTCGCACGAATTGCCGCCGCTCCTTCGGTGCTTTCCCTTTCACGCTATCTCTCCATTCATCTGATCGATGGGAATGCCCGGCTGCATTATCCACTTACGCGTGTCGGGACGTCATCGTCTTGTAAAAATGAGCGCCAGTCAATTGAGAAACTTGTCAACGAAATTATTCAGCCTTTCCGGAGATAGCGTCGCGCATTTGTAATAATTAATTTCCGATGCACGTTCAATTTAATTCGTTTATATAAGATCTTAATTTAACTGTGAATGTGAGTTTCAAGAAATTTATAATTTTTATAATTATAAGACCGAAGTGTGAAATGCATCCACATTGTTAATAACGTTGATTCAAATTCAGAAAATTCCATTATCATCCATGTATTTATTGCGGCGTTCATTTACTCGCGTCAAAATTTCTGCTTTGGTCCGCACGCATCCCCTTTAAGTTTGATATTTTTTTCACGTTTGTTCTCCGTTGATAGTCGGCTGCAGGGTGCGAAAGGTATGAAAGCGTAGCACCGGGGGTGACCGAACCTAAAACCTCGGGTCGAATTGTACGCTTCATGGTTGTGTTTCGAGCATATCGTCCTCGGAGTCGCGACAGCGACGGTAAGCTAATATTACGGTGCCCCGCGGCGAACTGGAAAATCTCATTGAGGCCTCCATTATTCATCCGCAAGCCCGGGCCTGTGCCCGACCCCGTTCATTTCGTTCATTCGCTCGTCCGTTCGTCCGTCTGTCCGTTCCGTAGCCTCGTAGTTTCCGCAGCGGTAAATTCAATTCGAATTACAAACGCGCGGAATTAATCCCCCGTCACACCCGACCTTTCTCGCGTTTTCATCGTTCGCAGTTCATAACGAGGCCCGACAATTACGAAGCGCTCGCAACTTTACCGGAATGACACTCGCTCACGAATTTGCAGACATTTCCTGAAAACTAATTTCGCATCTTCTATTTATTAAAGCGCTCCTGCCAAAGAGATTGCACGATCCATCGTAATAATCTCTCGAATTGACATTTTTTAAAAAGATAAATTACATATTACAATTTACAAATTTATAAATTTTTATATTGTTATAATAAAAGTATATCTCGTTGCTGCAATTAATTCGCTGGAAACTCTTTATCTTCAATGAAAAACTGTCGGATTGTCGACATTTTAGTTACTGCCTACTTTGTTCTTATCAGGGAAGTTTTTATCGCACATATGTAGATAGATCACTCTAAAAACAGAGACTTTTATCGCGATACCCGTCTTTTGTCTGAAGAGTGATAAAAAGTGATAGATAATGCCGGAAAATATTTTTCCTAAAAATATTGTATCATTTATAAGATATTATTATAGAAAATTGCCTTAAAGACGATAGAAACTTTTGCACATATCCTTAATAAAATATAATAGAAAAAAGACTTCAACAATCACAACATGAGAATGTGTGCGTGCGCGCGCGTGTGTGTGTGTGTGTGTGTGTGTGTGTGTGTGCGCTCGATAGAAAACAAAAGAACTTAAGAAAAATTCGAATTATTATTTTATTTGCAATTATTTTATACGCGTGTAATTGCTACATTTTGCCAAAGTCCGTATCAAATTATATTGATCAGACACACTCGTATGTATTTAAATGCGCGTGAAAGTAGCGCGGTGTGGTCCGCCATAAAGCGGTTAAAGTAGATGTATCCTCCGTGGACAGGAGGGTGAAATAAAGAGATAGGATGCTGTGGAAGCAGGTGGATACCGCTGAGAAGTAACGCGAGCACGTGCAAATGGCCGCGTGTCGGGACTCAGAAGGGATCTTCTTTCGCGGGGGAGGCAACAAAGTCTTATCCCCCACGAGAAGATGGGAAAGGAGTGAAGTACGGAAAGGAAAAAGCAATAAACTTTTATGGCCGTAAGCTCTCACTTGCGTGGGCGAGGTGTCTGCTCGATGCGAGCATCCGAAACTTGCGAAATATAATTTTGCTTCTTGATTTGCAAAATTCTGGCGCGGTGTTCGAAAAGAAAATAATTGAAAGGTGGAAATTCCAAAAAATAATATATAAGTGTTGAATATATACTTCTTTAATGTGCTTTGTGCCTTAAAAACGTCTTTTTCGGAATATTTTACAAAAGGAATTTTAGTATCTTTTCTATTTTAAATCTCACATTCTTCAGTTTATATATGTATTTTTAAATACATCTTTAAAAATTTATATAAGTCAAGTACATGGTTGTTTCATTCATAATTCTAAAACTAATCGACAAACTAGATAATGGCGCTGCACATGGAACAATATCAGGAGGAAAAGTTTTCTTTTAACGGAATTCGTAAGAAAGAAATTGCTAATCCAACAAGGTCCATAAACATTTGTCACATTTATTCTTTGCGATGGAAACATAAAATTGTTGTCAACTGAAGAGAACTAAGAAGAAAGGAAACTTTTCTCCGGGACGCGCGCAAAGAAAGAAAAACTGCTGCTCCCACGAAGCCGAACGTTT